TGATTGGAGAAAGGTCCCCCATAGTAATAGGGTAAACCGTCACCGTAGTAAGGCATTGTGGCAAGTATTATCCAATGGATTCACGTGTACGGACTTGTCGAAGAGCTGAAGTTTCGAAGAGGGAGCACGAACGGAGGCACGTCCGCTCCGTAGACACGAGCGGTTCGACGCTCTCGAAGACGACTGAGCGCGGCACGGATCGCCGGCGTTCTCAGGTGTTCGACGAGGCGTTCTCACGGTTCAGGGAGCCAACATCGACTGAGTCTAAGCGAGCGACCCGGTGTAATAATAGAAGTCTAGTATATGAGGCTTCCTAGCATCTAACTATATATACTAGCTGGACTCTAATAACCCGTGCAACGTCTCAAGCATTGCTTCCCCTACAAATATTTGTCGAATTGTAACATTTGTACGTGACTCAGAGTTTGGATCGGTTTGTATCTGTCGATTGTAAAAGACGTGGTCACTTATTATTGTTACGATGCTTTAACGAGATTCTCTCTCGTTTTGAATTTATCTATGGTGCACAATATTAAAATTTATTTAAAAAAGTTATTAAAAATTGATGAATTTCATGAATTTATTTGTTTCAGAAACATTCACAAATGATATACAATATGAAAATAGAAAAAGAATTTTCTATCTAAAGTATAGCTTGATTAGAAGACACTTTATTACTGGCATGCTGTTAAAGATATAATACGACGTACGACAAGTTTGTGGAGAACGTTATGAGAAATACCAGAAAACTTGCAATTATTGAAGCTTGTGGCAAGCATGCATGTCAACCGTGTAAAACGCGCATTTATGTGTCAACGGAGTCACGGTTTCGCGTTGTTTTGTATTCAAGCATTGAGTTCCGCGCCAAATGTTTCTTTTCTCGGTGCCTATTGTTGCTTGTTCAGAGAATCTTAGAAATAGCCAACGAATGGCGAACGGATACTATTTCAAACCAAACTAAGAATAATTTTAAACTAAGATTAAAATATTAAAAAGTAAAATTTTAGAAAAAATTATAATCAATAGTGCGAATTTAAATGAACGTTATATTAAAAAATTTTAAATTCAAGGTGCATCAAGAATAAAATGAAAGATATGCAAGAGTGAATTTTTTACATACCGTCGCATCTGACACCTTGTCGAAAAAAGCCGTATAACATGGAACCACAATGATCACAAAACGTCGGCGACATAAATGTGTGAAGCCGAAATCTGTGAGGCACATCTACCTTGAAACGCTCCCTCAAGTACTGCACAATATTGAACAAGTATTAACAGAATTAGACCGATTCTGCGTGGGACTAGGTATTGCGTTATTTCTGACAAATAGCATAGTGAGTATATATACAATAGAGTAACAATACTTTTTGTAAAAATAAATATCGAGCGATTTAAACAAAAATATATAAAAATACATGTATGATAATTTACAGATACATTTGTGGAAGTGGATTTCATGTCCTAAATTGCTGGAAGAGCCGAATGTTTTCAAAAACATTCATAATTTGGTAAAACCTACTCTTGCATCATAAAGTAAATATATACACATAAAATTTTGAAGTTCAAAAATAAACATAAATTTTAACATACGAGGATAATGTTAGAAACAATCTTGTTTTCCACAGTCAAATATCTGGATGAATTACACATCATTGAATAAATAAGCAAACATAGTTTATTCGAGTTCTACATTCTTGGTACAAAACTTGTACCAAGAAACGTGATCAGTTCTCGTTAAAGGAAATGGATAAATTGATATTATCAATCGTGATATATTTTAGACAAAAATTTGACGCTTACTCGATGAAATTCGGAACAAAAACAGAAATTGGAGAATTGATAAAGCAAATACTTACTATCGTGTTCTCGGATTGCCTGCCACTTTCCGGGCACTTGGTTAACAATTTATCATGGCACTTCTTATGCACCGCTGTTTGGCAGGCTAAAACGCAGGATAGAATATTAATAGAAATGCAACGTGGTGCAGACAGAAAAATCGCAGTTCGCGATTTAATATTTACCTTGGCACTGGTATCCTTGCTTCCCAAAGCCCCTATGACATAGAGTACACTTTACATTAATTGGAAAATATAATCAAGGAAATTATCGTTAACGCAGATATTTGAATAATGTGCCCGAAAAATGCAATCGAAAGTATTTTTAGATAAACCGCGCATACATCAAAGCAGCCATCTTTTATGATAAATCAAGATTCTTCTTCGATTGCTATATTATCGGAATGAAAATGTTCTTGATAAAACATTTATTGTTTTATTATATCATTTTATTCGTTTCTTAGACAAATCTTTATCTATTTAATTTTTTATAGTTTATTTTATTTATTTATTTTTTTCTTTTTTAGAGACTTTACCAAAGAAAATCCTTGCAAAAAGCGCAGAATGTTGGTTGTCTGAAGAATTTTGCAACTAATTTGTGACCTCGAACTACATGCACTTTGTTGTGTTTCACTGCCCCTCTTCTTTTTGTAATTGCTCCCCCACCGATATTATTCATTTCACGTGGAGAGGATGCAACTACAATGTCCCTTCGGGGAACTCTGGTTTTGTATACATACGTTTTCCCTATAGAGCTTGCTGGTGGAAGATCCGTTGGATTTAGTATTGGAATTCTAGTCCTGGAATTATCATACATTGTATCTTTTTTTTTTTTTTTTTGTAGTTTTTGTTCAAGCCAAAGTTTCTTTCAATGGATGAAATTCACGTTTATGTATAACAGGTATGTTTTGTATTTACTTTGTTTAATAGAAAATCCTAATTATTTTTGTTGATAATATTTTTAATTATTTGAAGGAGATAATTAAAAGAGAAAACTAATACTTCCTCATTTCATCATTTAATTTTACATTTATAATTATTAATGAAATACTAATTAATTATAAATAATTTTTTTTAATTTCATTAATTAAAGAAGATCGACACTTTGACTCGACAAAACATTTAACAAGTTTTACCTACCGAATGGCTCACCTGTAAGTGTACCCTTCCGCGCTCACATGAGTTTGCGGACTCCTACGATCCGCAGCAGACTTCCGGGCAGAACCACTACCAGCGTTACGCTTTTTTGCATGGGCACCAGCGGTAAACATCATTTTCCTATTCACTTTCTTTACCTTCTCTCACTTATTTGGCGATCAAGTTCTTCCAGATGATAGAGACAAACACTAATGAATTCCGTGTGCCCGATCGATGATGCTATCTTTTTAATTTCCCGCCTTGTGAGGCTTGAATTCCAAAACATATCGCCGCGTAATGCCAAAAGAATTTTCGCTCATCGGCCAGCAACATCTTCATCTCGGTACGCTGCGCACGAAGCATCGATCGTTTCCAATTGATCAAAATTTATTGATTCTGCTTTGGAAAAGAAACATCGAACGGTATTTGTGTATCACATTTTTAATAATATTAACGGTAATTGTAATAAATAAGGGATCACAATAAAGAATCTATATAATATCGATTTTCGAGAAGAGAATAATTTCGAGTTTTTCACAGAAATTTTTCAAGGATGAAGAATAGGAGACACTGATTCTCTTCTGCAACCTCTTCTCATCTTCTCTGATGAGGCCATGCGTTTTCGATCAAGTGAAATTTATCATCAAATTTTATGACTAATACTCGAACAAAAAGTGGAAGATGCCTCTTCTTTTCGATTCCCTCTTCATCCAGCACGTTGATCGAACGTCCGGATATGATACGTTATTTCATCGGAAACGTGTCGACCAGAAGTAGCGCTAGCTATGTTCAAACGTCAGCTATGCGACTCGATCGACCGTTCACGATGTTCAAATGGCCGCACTTGAGGAAATATCTTCGAATTTCCAGGATTGACGACTACTCTAATTCCATTTTAAATTGAATCACAAAATTGAATTAAAATTTATGGATCATCGCGTGAATATTTATGAACGTAGGAACTGGATTTTTGACGCCTAAAACGTTGTGTAGCTTTGCACGAAACTCTCGAGTCTATAAATATCAGCCTGTTGAATGCCGCCCGCTTGGATTGCATAGCGCCGCACGCGGAAAATATTAGAACGCGTGATCAGGTGTTTTCCAGCCTGGAAAAGCGCTCTTATTATTGCTGTTGAAAGTGTATTGTGTAGCCAATCCTGAATAAATTAAGAAATATAAAATTGAAAATAACGAAAAATTTGTATACTTCAAACGAGCTTCGCTTCAGAAAAGTAATATATCTGGGTTTATGCTAAATTAAAGTAGATAATAAGAAAAACATCAACGAGTAAGGCTTTTTATACAAATGTCTGTATTTCTTTTCATGTAATTAACGATGTGTACAGTGAGTTCATTTCTTTATATATCAAATACAGAGAAACAATAGTTCTTCGTGATTTTTATCGTGTGGATAGCACTTTTTCTGCTTTAAGTAATATCTTTTCTCTTTCTCTTTACTGTGCATTACATTAAAAAGAAATTTCACGACTGATCTTTCTCATTCTTCTTTCTTTTGAAACGAATGAGAGATGTCGGTAAATATATTTAAGCAGAAAATTAGAAAGAGAAACCGCTTCAAACACAGCCTTTTCACATGATAGACACACAGACACGACGAGGAAATTGTCCAATTCATCTTGATGCTATATACAACTAAAATAAAGTACAAATAGCTATAGATTTGATCATGGAACAACGTTTTACATTTTGTGCTCTCAACAAAGTCTTTTGTTGTTCCAATCAAATTCACAATATCTCCTCGTCGATTAATATGTATGTAGCTGTTACTTTCGCTCGCGGCGGAATTACGTATAAATAACGAAATTAACAGTAAAATTCTTACAATATTTATATATTTATATTTATGTATATATTTATATATAGCGGACAAGGAATAGAATTCTAAATTGATAAGAATATCGCTACGATAAAAATCGAAGTGATTCTTATAAAGAGATTATCACTGAAAACTGAAAACACCGTTTATCTTCCAAGATAATAACGGTTTTATGACTGATCTGTTTGTATGTTTATATTATGCTTTATTAAAAATCCCTAACTAATAGTTTTCTTTGATTAAAAAAAAAAAAAAAAAAAAAAAAAAAAAAAAAAAAAAAAAAAA